TCTTTCTAAAAAAAGCTTGACAACCAGTTTTTTTTACCGAATGTCCATGAAATTTAGTTTTGGCGATGGCCTGGACCTTTCAATTGATCTATGTTGGGTTATATCAAGAGAACTACATCTTTTTCAATAACTTTGAGGCCAAATTGCACCATTTTTCCATTCTTCGAAGCCCTAGTATGAAGTTGAAAAATTTATGGTTTTTGGGTAAAGTTAAAATCAGATTTTGACGCCTTTGTCCATTTAAGGTCATAACTTGGCAATTTATGGTCAAAATTAATTCATTTTTGCACAAAATGTGCTTGAGAAGTGTACCTTTATTTCAACGGTTAAATGGTGCCTGTAAGTCTAGTCTAACTGACGCAATTCAATTCTAAAAAATTAGTGACAAACTTTATCGGTCATACCTTATCTTCATCATCTTGTGTCTTGCCTGATGTATTAATTCAATTTATGGATTCATGGAAACGTTATTTTAATATCAATTATGAACGAAACATCTAGAATTTATTGGAAGACTTCGTTAAATTATTCAAACATACATGTATCGATACGCTTTGTTTTTGGCTGCAATCGCTTCGAACCGGGAAACAAACAACTGGATATGTTCAATTATGATGGATGATGTAAAACAAACATCAAATTGTTTTTATATAATCGACTGAAAAGGGTGCAGAGTTAATTGTACCATACCAAGCCAGGTGATTTGACTAATTATAGAAACAAATTGAGAAACAAAAGCAGCTAATTCTTATTTTACACTCCTTTCAATTCGTTCCTCTTCTCACTACTCCAGTTCTCTCCTTAGATGAATCAATAATCTTAAAATGTATCCTGTTTGTAATTGCAGCTGTGAAAGTATCATTACGATTTCATACAATACAAAAGAATCTTGTCAGTTATTGATCTTGATCTCTTAATATTTGGAACCAAATGCCATATATCCAGCATGGATAAAATTTTGACTCTTTGTGCCATTCTCGTTTTACTTAATCCACTTTTTATCTCTGGTAAGCTTGAAACACGTTTTTTTTCTTGATTCAGTTACAAGAGTTGACAGCTTTTGTTGGCATCTAACGAGAATAAACCTGATTACTCAAATTAAGATTATTTCGAAGTCATTTTTCATAAAAATTGAAGCTATTTGGATCAATTAGTTTTGTATCCAATTGTTTCATTTCCCTCTTGTAAAGATACTTTGATTGACTTCCTCGACTCAATATCGAGGAAATCAACCTGTCTTTTCTTCTCATTATTCAATTTGACTAATCTTTCTTTCTTTTATTTTTTATTCTAGTTTCGTGTGAATATTGTGAAAATATCTTGTGCAAAAATAATAACGACGATTATTGCGTTCGCGCTTGCAGTGAATATGGGTGTGATTATGAAGGAGCAAAGTGCATTGAACATGCCAAATATAGTTTTAAATTTTCCTTTGTTGATCGAGCTGGTTTTTGTATGTGTAGGCCAACTATAGCATCTGGTTCATATATGCTGCAAAGTATGTTGAGGGGATATCATTGACCGCCGATTTCCAATTGATTTTGTGTGCAGAATCACTAACGGGAAAAGATGGCCAAGGAACGAGATGACACCGAGACGAGAACCAACAAAATTACAAGACTTTTCAATTTTTTCAACAGGTTAACAAAGTAGACTTTGATTTGTTCTTCAAAACGCTTGTTCATTCATGATATATTGTTACCATGCTAATTAAAACTGGCTGATCTGGAGAAGGAAGCTATGAATAAATAATTGTTGATGTATTATCAATTAATCTTGTCAGTCGGTGAATTGGTGAGTCTGTTGGATTGTTAAGGGAAGCGATTGGTTTCAAATCATTTTAATCCAAGTTTTTGAATTAATTGTGATTCAACTCTCGGCTAACTAACTACTAATTGCAAATTATAAATCGTTCCTAGTCTTTGATTGTTGTGATTCGGTTATTCCATTATTTCGACAGTCCTTTTGATTATAATCCGGTCATTATTATTAAAAGTATTAACACTCAAAGGAAATCATGGCAACTGCTTGGGAAATGAGTGACGAGGATTTTGTTAAAATAAAATCAATTCGAGACATTTTCGATAAAGAGTACCATGAAAATAGTGACTTATATGAAAAAGAAGATTATTCCCGAGTAATGGAGAACGATTATCTAGTTTGGAGATTCTTGGATGATAAAGATGGGCGACTAGAGGATGCTACAAAGATGTTGGTTCGTTCAATGAGATGGAGAAAGCAAGTAGGTGTTAATTCAATCAAAGAAACTGATTTTCCCCGGGAGTTTTTCCGTATTGGTGCCAATCACATGTACGTTAAAGACAAGAAAGGCATGATTACCTATTATTCTCGTTTATGTGTCCCACCGGTGCCAAAAGAGTTTATGCCCCTTATGACACGCCTTTGTATATTTGGTCTTGAGATGATTGATCGAATTGCTTTATCAACAAGAATGAAATTTGGTTTAATTTATGATTGTCGTAATCCTGCAGTCACAGCCATGGATATGTCGTCTTTAAGAGAAACCATGTCTTTCATTCAAGGCAATTATCCTAGTTCTGTTGGCTATATGGCTTATTATGAGATGCCAGTGGTCCTTAAGGCGGTTTACAAAATGGTCAGAACCTTTACACCTCCAAAACTCCGTGAATTGGTAATCTTTGTCAACCGTAATAATATTGATGATCATATTGGATTGGAAAATGTTCCTGAATATATGGGTGGAACATGTGACGTTCCTTATTATGCTGATATGGATCATTGCCCATCATTGGAGGAAGTTGCAACCAAAGAAGGAATCAATCATGAAGCAGTGGATGAATTTTATCACATTTATGCACAATATTTGGACGAATATCAAAGGAAAAGAGATGAAAGGGAAAAGGCTGCTGCTGATGAGATCAATAATCCGGAATCTGTTTCAACATATCTTTGAGATTTATAGGCATTCCTCCTGAAAGTTTACTTTTCTGCTTACGGTATCCAAATTGATTGATGATTATACAAATAGTTGTTCCATCTAATACAAATTCGGCTTCGCTTCGCTCATTTTTATAAAAGACAGATTAGCTTTATCAATATTCAGTCTTCTCTAGAAAATAAAGACAAATGAATGGGTGAAATGAATTTAGAAATTTTGCTTTTTCAATTTTTCAAGGGTGAACAAGATATATTGCGCGAAAAACAAAAACCTCTGAAATAAAAAATTATTGGCTTCAAAAGTTTATTAGCTGTAAGAAGATAATAACATGTTCAGATATAGTGAACTTTGAATGGGGCTAATCTAGTATTTTCGCTTTGAGGAATGAGAAATTTGATCCTTCAGATAGTTATATATTTTGTTTTTCTCAATTGGTATTAAATCAGGAGTTCCTTAACAAAAGATTCTGGGAAAGTGAAAAGATAATTCTAGAGCTAAAGATTGTTCAGTTGGATTAAAATTTAGAGTTGTCCACAGTTTGAAATTGTGACCTTAGTCTTAGGTTTGCCACTTTGAGTACCAAAACCCTCGATTTTTTTGACAACATCCATTCCTTCGGTAACACTGCCAAAAACGACGTGTTTACCATCAAGCCATGCAGTTTTAACAGTAGTGATAAAAAATTGGGATCCATTAGTGCCTGGTCCGGCATTGGCCATTGAAAGGATACCTGGTCCAGTGTGTTTGAGTGTGAAATTTTCGTCAGGGAATTTTTCTCCGTAAATTGATTTACCACCAGTTCCATTGTGGTTGGTAAAGTCACCGCCTTGAAGCATGAAATTAGGAATTACTCTGTGGAAGATTGATCCCTTGTAACCAAAGCCCTTTTCTCCTGTGCACAAAGCACGGAAATTTTCAGCCGTTTTTGGAACGACATCAGGTCGTAACTGTAGAGAGAAAGGTGAAAATCAAAATGTAATTAAATTTAAATCGCAATAATGACATGACATTATAAAATAAGTCGAAAATTACAAAATTAACAACTAAAAGACACTTGAGCAAACAAAGAGAGAACCTAAATTCCTCAGGTAAACCTCCCCATCCCTTTGTGTCCTTACAAAGGAAAATTAAAATGGGTAAATGTATGGCATGCGTGAAAGCATGGTCAAAGAAATATTTGATTCGTTGAAAAAAGGAAATTGATAAAGGTAATAATTAACGACACTTACCTCGATTACAATCCTGCCAATATCTTTACCCTCGGCGGAGACATCGAAGAAAACACGTGGATTCGACATTTTGTTGTCTGAATTAGATGAAAAATGGACACAAGATTGAATTAATGGACGCAAAGTTGTTGGTAAAGTGGATCTGAAACTCAACGAAACCTGATTGTTATAAGAATTGTTAGCTACAAAACTAACCAATCGACGTGCAAATATTCCAGACATTCCCAACCTTTTCTCTCTCTCTTTTTCTCGCCTTTTTTTTACTAGTCTACTTACTTTTTTCCCCCTTTTAAGTTGAAGGTAGGAAAGTTACAAGGTGAGCAATGATGATAAGGGAAAGGGAGTGAAGATAAGGAAGATTGAAAGTGATTGGAAGATAGAGAGACAAGGCAAGTTTAATGGCAAGGAAGATAATCAACTTTTACATCGGAAAAAACATGAGGCGCCATCATCAAATTGTCTAGTAAATTATTCCTAAATTTTGCGTAACTGCTACCATCTAGTATTTAAATATTAAAGTTTGAATTGGTTTCTTTTTGAATGACATAATAAATGAAAATTGTTTACTTTTTGCATAAATTGCAACAATTCCCCTTCTCAATCAGGGTAATTCACGCTTGTATGCAACCTGTAGTCTTTTATGAGATAATTCAGCCGTTCAATAGGTTCACTATTGAACAACTTTCATTAAGAAGCTTTCAACTCCTTCCAAAATAAAGGGGAAGCTGTCAATTCCCCGAATTTAAATTTAACATCTGAGTGAGAAACCTGAAATTTATTAATCTTTTAAACCAGTTTATCAGCCTTCAAGACACATCAACACAACATTCACATCATAACCCACATACACTCATCTCAGCAACATCTACAGTGCGTACTTAATTTTTCAACTTTATCAACCTCAATCTTTTTTTCGGTGCTTTTGTTTATCTGTGTGTTCATCACCAATCAATATGGCAAATAATTTGTTGTTATTTTCCAATAGAGTTGCTATAGTTACTGGGGCTGGTGGAGGTAAGTTCCTAATCAATCATTTGTTATGATTATACAAAACTTAGATTATCAATGTTTACATGCAAGTCAATAAACATTATGTCATCCTGAATCTCATTTATTTGTTTTAGGCTTAGGTAGAGAGTATGCCTTATTATTAGCTTCAAGAGGAGCCTCTGTTGTGGTGAATGATCTTGGAGGTTCTAGAGATGGACAAGGAAGTGATAAACGAGCTGCAGATATTGTAGTCGCTGAGATTCGCAATAAGGGTGGAAAAGCAGTCGCTAATTATGGTAAGTGGTGATTCCATATTTTATTTTACCAATTTATCTATATCCATTGAATTGAAAAGTGTCACATGAAAGTAAATTAACGAATTTTCTTTTTTTCTTAGACTCCGTCGAAAATGGAGAATCAATTGTCAAAACCGCCATTGATAACTTCGGTAGAATCGGTAAGCTATTGATAATCAATTATAGACTCAATATTTTTTGTGTAAATTCAGATTCTAATTTTATTTTTCATCTCTCATAGATATCGTTGTTAACAATGCTGGCATTCTTCGAGATAGATCATTCAAAAAGCTCAGTGACCAAGATTGGTATTCAGTCATTAAAGTTCATCTAGATGGTGCACGAAAAGTAACGCAAGCAGCTTGGCCTTACTTATTACAGCAAAGCTATGGAAGGTTAGTCCATATTTTCACTGACTTTAACTCCTTCATGTTTAAGAAACTTAGAATACACCTTTCTTCAATGTAGCACTGGAAGTAGAGTTTTATCTAGAAAATTTTGTATTCAAAATGATTGATCCAGCCTAACTTGCTTGTTAAAAAGAGTTTATTGTTATTACCTTAATGAAATTGCATTCTTTCGTTACTATTACAGTAATGTGTATAATGTCAATTTAAGCTATTCCAATTTTCCTTATATCTTCAGTTGTATGCAGTTTTCCCGCACACAATTTTCGTCGCTATTTCCTTGTTCGATCAAATTTTAGAAGGTCATCATTTTACTTATGAGTTTATTGGTGAAGTCTGTTTCCTGATGTAGGGTTATTTGACCTGATCATGCACTATTTCATTTTCTACGAAAAACAAAAGCTCCGATATATTAGATTCTGAATTACTTTTTCTTGTCTCACCATCGATCATAATAATTTCAATTTATCCTCATATTTAATCTACATCATTACCTAATGTTACTTAATAAGTACTCATCATGATGTCCCCTAAAAGCCTGTTTCATGAAAACAAGTTCAAAAATATACAGTCAAACGTTTTTTAAAATGACAAAATTGGTCCATAAAACAATGCATTGCATGTTATCTTTCTTTTCTTCTTTCTCTGAAAACTCGAAAAGACATAAGAAGAAGGGAAAGATTAACAGTTCAATTCAAGAAAACAATAGATGAGTAGTTTCGTCGCCCAAGATAGACCTGACTGAATTAATAAGTTACGGAAGAAAGAACTTAACCATCAAATAATAGTTTACTAGTTAAATCAATCAATTGAAAGAACAGGCAATGAGCGAGTTTTCTTCCATTAACTGTCACGTTAAATGACTCTTACTATGATTCAGTACATTTATGTATTGAAGCTCTTAATTTCTCAATTTGCAATACTTTATAAAACGCACAAAATGAAACAAAGTGATTAGTTTGGAAAATATTGAAATTCTAAATCAATAGTTTAACTCATTCCATATTCTGAATCTTATGTATTTGAAGATCAGATTCACTTTTTGCTTGACTAACTTCCAGATTAATTCAATTTCGATGACATAAACAGTAAAATCTAATCATTTTTTTCTCTTTCCAAACTTAGGATTATCATGACCTCATCAAATGCAGGACTTTTTGGCAATTTTGGACAAACAGCTTACTCTTCTGGTAGGTTTTGGGAAATCTTCATAAATAATCTTCGATAAATTTTTCAGTTCGCTCATAAATATTTATTTAATTTATTCACAGCAAAAAATGCTTTAATTGGTTTTGCTAAGACTCTTGCCATCGAAGGAGCCAAATATAATATCCATTGTAATGCGATTGTTCCTGTTGCCGGATCTCGATTAACCGAAGATGTTCTTCCAGCTGATCTCTTTGGACAATTCAAACCCCAATATGTTGCTCCAACATTAGCTTGGCTTTGCCATGAATCATGTCCAGAATCAGGGTCAGTTATTGAAACTGCTGGAGGATGGGTCGGTAAATATGCTTACCTGCGAACCCGCGGAAAAGTTTTTAATCCACCCGAAACGATGTCTCCTGAAGCAATCCGGGATAATTGGTCTGAAATCACTGATACATCTGTTGGTTCTTATCCCGAATCTATCACCGGTGAGCTCTTTTAAGATGATTGGCTAATGAAAGAACAATTAATCATTTGGTCTTTTTATTATTACAGAACAAATTTCAGAACTTGTTTCCAGCATCAGAGGAGAATCAACATCCACAGTTCGAATGAATAAGGCTCCTGAAAATGGCAATTTGTTTCAGTATGACGCAGATAAATTAATTTTATATGCACTTGGAGGTATTTATTAATGAAATAATTTGTTATAAGTGTAATTACTGGTATATTAACTTGAGTATGTTCTTAATTGTATTTTCTCATAGTTGGAGTAAATGTCAATGAACCTTACCATCTACGTTATTTATATGAAAGTGATCCAGATTTTACTGCGTTTCCAACCTTTGGTGTTATCCCAGGATTACACGGACTTATGATGACAGATCTTTTATCTCAAGCTGCACAGAAATATGGCTTTACGATTGATCCAACTCGTTTACTCCACGGTGAACAGTTTTTAGAAATTAAGAATCAAATTCAAGTAGAGGCAAAGTTGCGCTCTGAGGCTCGTATTGTTGATGTTCTTGACAAAGGATCTGGAGCTTTGATAATTGCTGATGTTGATTCTTATGATAGTGAAGGGAAGCACATTTTTTCCAATCAATTTTCACTATTCATTGTTGGTGCAGGCAAATTTGGTGGACAGCGATCAAGTGATAATCCAAAAATCAAATCAGTTGTATCATCTCCTAGTCGACCAGCTGATGCAATTGTAACAGAGAAAACCTCAATCGATCAAGTAGGATGACCTTTTTATTTTCATTTATATTTAATATCTATTATAAGAAATTAATTTAACTTTATTTCCTCAGGCTGCATTATACCGTCTTTCTGGAGACAAAAATCCTCTTCATATCGATCCAAACTTTTCTGCTGTCGCAGGATTTAACAAGCCAATACTCCATGGTTTATGTTCACTTGGTTTCGCTACTCGCCATGTATTGCGTACCTACGCTAACGGTGACCCGTCTCTTTTCAAAGCTGTCAAAGCTCGTTTTTCTGGCACAATAATTCCTGGTGAAACAATCAAAACAGAAATGTGGAAAGAAGGAAATCGAATTCATCTCCGATGCTCAAATGTTGAGACAGGAAAAAGTATTTTAGAAGGAGCATATATTGATCTTGACACAGCAAAGGTAACCATTGGAAATAAGTTATGAGATTAATAAACTAATTTGTTTTTCTCAGAATGTATAAGATCTAAAAACTGACTTCGTTAAGCGTTAATTAAGATGTATTTATCTACTGTTAATATAAAGATTAGACATTGCCATCAACCAATTTATTTAGCTCAATTCAATCATTTATTTAAGCCACAAAACTCGATTGATTTAATTAAAATATACAACTGTAGGGGATCATTATTTTTATCGTAAACATCAAAAAGTATTTTTTGCCTGATTTTATCTTCTCACGTTATTAAGTCAAAGTCAGATAATTTTGCTGAGTTGTCATCTGTTGTAACATGATTGCTTCCAAAGTTTATATTGTCGATTGTTTGGTTTAATACTTGCTATGTTATTGTGCTATCATCCTCACAGATAAATCCAAGTCATCAAATTGAGCAAAATAATGCAGAAATTCCCCTTGAAGCCTTTAAGGATGATGATGAGCTCTATCTTGTTTCGGATCCTATTTTCGAGGAAATGGGTCGTCGAATCGAAATGGCTCCTGATGTTGCATCAAAAATCAATGCAATCTATGAATTTATCATTTACAAAGATGAAAAAGAAGTCAAAAGATGGGGTAAATATAAAAGAAATACAGCGATGAAAATATAACCTAAATGAACCTAATTATGTGATTAATCATTTTATTAAATCGAAAAATGTTTTTCTCCATAATTTTATAGTTCTCGATTTGAAATCTGCTGAAAAAGGATTGTTTGCTGAAGGATCGAAAATTGTTGAACCTGACTGTATCATTCAAATTTCTGATCAAGATATGGCTGCTTTAGCAATGGGAGATTTGGATCCTGTTAAAGGTTTCATGGAAGGAACAATTAGGATTGTTGGTGATCCAAGTGTTACACAAAAACTAAATTATATCTTTAAACTAGATAGTTCAGTTTTGCACATTGAAAAAACTGCTGCAGCTGACAGAGAAAAGTTTGGTGCAGCCTTAAACTCTACCGAGAAAAATAATGCCGCAAATTTGCAAATGGCATGTAGAATCGATTCAGTATTTGAAAATTGGGCAGCTAAACGATTAAACGATTTAAAGTCTATGATTCCAACAATTAAAACTGTATACCAATGGAATATAACTAAAGATGGAAAACCAGCTTCTGTTTGGACATGCGATTTCAAGAATGGCGATGGTGCCATTCATAGAGGGTCACCAAAAACTGGTAAAGCTGATTGTATACTGACCATAGATGACGATTTTGTCTGTAAAATCTTCGAAGGAAAGGAGGACGCAATGAGGGTAATCGAATGGTTAGCTTTTGAAAAGAGAATATTTTATTAACAATTTTCTTTCCATTTTAGGCCTTTATGTCTGGTAAATTGAAAATTTCTGGTAATATTCTAGCTGCTCAAAAATTACAACAATTATGGGCTGAAGAAGCTCCAAACGTTGCTGCTACTCTATCTCAAGAGGAGAAAAAATCTGAATCTAAATCAGAAAGTTCCTCATCAGACTCTAATACGGACCCTGACATTGAAGTATGAAGGCATTTTCCTATTTAATTTAATTCCTTAAATGCTAATTAATGACCTGTATTGTATTTTTTCTAGGAAATACCAGTAACTGGATACAAATGTGATCTTATTTTTAACATTTTCAAAAACCGATGTCATGAGGAACCAGATTTTATGAAAAGACTTCGAGTTGTTTTTCAATTCAACGTATTGAGAAAAGGCAAACCTGCTTGTGTTTGGAGTATGTTTAAGAAAACTCATTTAACTGAAATTATTGATATTAATCTTATTTTTCTTTCATCTCTAAATCAGCTGCTGATAATAAAACCAAACAATTCGTACAAGTTTATAGAGATTTACCTAAGAATATAAAACCTGATTGCATTGTTACTATGGAAGACGAAGAGTTGCTCAAAGTTATGGTTGGCAAAGTTAATCCTCAAAGAGTATGTTATTAAACACTTTAAATTTAATCAGATAATTTTTGAACGATTAATATTAATAATTTATGTTTTATAGTTATTTATGCAAGGAAAGATTCGAGTGAAAGGAAACATCATGTTGCTTCAAAAACTCAATTCACTTTGGCTGGAATATCAAAAACTGGGAAAAACCCCTGAATTGCCAATCGCAATGGACATTTTGTTACTTGAACCTCTCAAAACTGGACTTAAAAGTGAATCAATATTCATTGATTTAGTACAAAGAATCGTACGATTACCTGAATTGCTCAAAGATGCTAAAGGCTTCCATAACTTTAACATCACCAAAGAAAATAAAATTGTCTCTAATTGGGGTAATTATCATTATGATCATTCAAATCCCTTTCCTTGTTTTGTTTATTTGTTATTAATTTTGATTAATCTTTCAATAATCCCTAGTGATCGATCTTACCGGTGAAATCCCAAAAATTAAGCGTGGATCAGCAACCGATGCTGTATCAACTTGGACTGTAGACGATTATGATATTGCCCGACTCGTGCTGATGAAACTTAAACTAGCTGATGTAAGTTCAAAAGATACAATTCTTAACTTTATACAATTTCTTTCATGAGATATTCTGAAATTTTTACTTTTTATCTGTTTCCAGGCACTTGCTCAAAATAAGGTCACTATTGAAGGTAACAAGGAGAAAGCATTAAAACTGGAAAAAATGTTCACAATACCGACTTCATTGAAACCTAAAATTTAAAGATCCAATTTTTATATTTTTGTATTACACTTTTATACATTGTTAATTTTGTTACCTTTATGATGTTATGAATTATTACAACTCAATTCATTCAAAATTTTTAAAAATTCAAGTTCAATAATACGAAAAGATCATCAATCATTGTTTTACACTTCAACGAAATGTTTTTATCACTCTTTGCAATAAAACATGAAGGTGTTACAAGACATTCAGCTTTTCACTATTTTTAAATATTCAAATCAAATTTATTAACATAGATTTAATCTCAATAATAAGACGAGCACAGAATCAGAATTTTCTTGGGAAATCATTAATTCATGATCATATTTATACCTAATGTTTATTTCAATGCATAAAATGAATGAAATATGCGATTCTAAATTGAAAATCATCATCAATCAAAACAAGTTACAACTTCATTGCTGTGAATTGATTCAAATTGTTTGATTCAAAAAGCTTTTAACTTTTCTTATCCAAGTACATTTGAATGGTTTCCAGATAAATCAGAGTAACTATAGAAAGTCATTTTTGATTTTGATTGATTAAGCGATTTCCTGGTTTTTAGAACAAATTTTAATGATTCTTAGATTCATCAAAATTTCCATTTAACTCTAATTATCAAGTTTAACGAATTACAATTAATAACAGCTTCTCACAAAACACATGTACAACTACAGTCTTCACCAACAGATGGCATTAGATATATTGTCCTTTATTTACAATTTTTTATCATAAATTTTCATTGAAAAGATTTAAAAATGAAAATCAAATCAAATTTTCAAGGAAACAATAGTTGCTCTAAATAATACCTAAATTTATCAGTCCATGTTAAATTGTGATTAAAATATTCAATTGACTGTTGAACAGGTTGATCTTTTTCCCTGTAATATTTACTATAACCGTTGAACAGTTAAACACTTGTCCAGTCAATGGTTAAACAAGAAGGAATGTAAATTATTATTTAATGTAAATTGTTAATGTTAATTTTTCCTGTAGGTAAACAATTGAAAGAAAAGGTAAAGGCCAAGATTAAGGATAAGTCAATATTCAAAGTAAATTTCATCTTAAAAGGTAAGTTGATGAAGATTACAAGGCAAGTTGAAAAAAAACAGTTGTTTATTAATCTATGTAAATAACCAATTGGGATTGACTGTTTACCTTACAAAGGGTCAACTTGGGTCAAAGTTGAAGCCAAATAGTTGGATAAAGTGAATCAAAAAGATGAACCCAAAGATGAACATGAAGATGATAAAGAGGATAAAGATGATAGAGATGATAAAAGATGGGAAAAGGTAAAAAAGAGAAGAGGAAAATGATGAAAAAGAAAAATTTTTCCTAAGGTTACTGAGTTTAAAGATTAACTTGTTTTTTCCGTTGAACCTCTAATTATCAATGAAAGACTAGGAAGAGAAAGAGCGAAAGAGAAAGAGGTTCATCTTTGATCTTGAAAATTCAATAGTTTCATGTTGGATCATGATGATCATCTTGATGAGGCCAACTTTAATAATGTGCATTTACCTTTAACTAATTTGTAAACGAAAATTCACCAACAAAAATCACCTTTTCCTTAACATTTTCATTCCTTCTTCATCTTTTTATCATTATCATTGCCTTTATTCCTATTATACTAATTATCATTATTATTCCGAGAATCACCATTAATTCAATTCTGTATTTATTACAATGTCTTAAGGGTAAATCAAATCTACTTTAATGATAAATAATAATGATTACAATGATAATAAAAATAAATATAAAAAAGCAAAGTTGAACCCTTCAAAGGTTGACAAACACTTGAATACTTGAAGAGACACTGTAATCAATTTTACTGTGGTTAACAGTGTTAATATTAATTGATTAATTGCTGTTGCATGTTTAACAATTAGTATCATCCTTTGATCGATTTTAATGGCCTTTTAATGTCCAGTGACAACAATAAACCAAAGTGACCAGTTTTCAGGTTTAGACAAAAGTTAACAGTTAAGTTACAGGTTTAACATTTTCTGGTGAAGAGCAAAAAAAGTGATTTTTTTATTTCTCTCTGAGATTTTTAGCTAATTTCAAATGCATTTTAATGGTTACCTTCATTTTTTGCAAATTATGTTACAGGTTTATTTAATGGATGAAACTGAAGATATAAAGTTCAACAGTTTTTTATCAGTTGATTAAAAATACTTATCATCATTCATCTTGATTTCAGCCATTAATTTATAATAGTTGATTAACGTTAGTATCAAATGGAAGCTGAAAGAGCTGGCTCAAAGTTAAATATTGAAAGGTTTTGAATGTGATGTTATAAAAAAGATGTAAAACTATTAACGATGGAAAATTGAAAGATACAGAAAATCAAATTTATGATGAAAATTTGAAAGAAATGTGATTCAAGGTATTGATCAGGAATCTTTAAATTATCATTGGATTGTCTAGCAATTTATTGCACCAAGAAACTGGTTGCCTTGACAAAACTGTATTGGCTGATCAATTTGGTGTTTAACTTGATTTAAAAGTACATTTGTTTTGAGACAAAAATTGGGTTTCAACTTTGGGTTAAGGCTGCAAATTTGAAAATCATTGCATTATTTGCATTCTTATTGTAACTTCAAATTATGTTTAACCTGAATTACAAGGGTTATTTGAGTTGATTTGGTTGTAATAAATAGGCCAACATTTGTCGGTGAAGTTGAAGGATTGATGTTGAGTTATTTTTGCATTTAATTGCAACAAATTGTTAAAGCATGAGACGACATGATCAAGATGACTTGAAGGTTCGATCAATGTTTCAACTCGCACTCAGTTCAAGTTCAATGTCATTTAGACTCACTGCAACTGTGATGAGTATTTTTGACGATTCTTGTTGTTTCTGATTTTCCTTTGAAAACATGGAAAGAAATGGATTTTCCTTTGATTATAAATCTCTATGCTAAATGAAAGGTTGATTAGCATTTGATGTACACAGGTTGATACAAATCAACGGGTTACCTTTAATGTAACATTAAAGTTGCGCACAAGTCAACTCTTGATTGGTTGCATGAAAGTAATTACTTTGATTAAAGTTGATAAAAATTTCCGGATTTCAATGAAAATTGCATCTTGGGTTTGCATTATTTGAAGCGCAAAAACGGTTGCAATCAAAACTGTTCATTATATAACAACATTTCAACGATTAAAGTTGCTTTCAATGAACATTTCAAAGAACCCAAAATTTAAAGTCAAAATTGCGTTAACATGTCGACACCAAATCTGTCTTTAATACTTGAATATGTTAAACGATTGAAACAATGCATTTAAATACAGTTACAATTGTTAGTGTAAAGCCATTGTTTGACCATCAACTTATTGTCATATCCTTGGTCAACAGTGTTGGTAATGAAAGGAGAGGAAAGTTGAACTTTAAAAGGCAAGTAATTTCTTTGCTTCAGGTCAATTCGGGTGTTGACATTGCTTCCAATGGTTCCTTCATCATCATCAACATCATTTTCATCGTCATTTCTTTTCCTAACTTCTCATGGTTATTCCATCTTTCTCTATCTTAATGATAATCTTTCAAACTGAAATTAATTATATCTCAAAAAACGAAGAAGAGAATCTCTTTTTTCTTGTTGTTAAACATTTTTACATTTGAAAAGGGCAAAGAAGAGAGAGAGAAGAGAAGAGAAGAGCAAAAAAAGATGAAATAAGGTAAGAAGAAAGGTACATATAAAAAGGTATAAAAACGGGATCCAATGATTGATTTTACCTTAGATTACCTTAGAACGGCCTGAAGCTGTTAAGACGTCCTAAGGAAAAAGTTAAGACTTCAAGGCAAGTCAAGTGTTTTTTACTTCTAAGATCCTGCTTCATCATCATCATCATCATCATCTTCATCAACAAACTTCGTTATTGCTCTGATAACCATTTTCATGTCCCAAACGTTTGTCAATCGGATTACACGAAACTAAATACATTTTTACTTTTCTTTCCTACTAATCATAATAATGTTGCTAATAATGTGATTATCTTTGGTAACATTGAATAGTTAATCTTAATACTTGAATAATTCAATGAATTGAATTGCAATTGAATGTTCACCTGAAACTGATTAACCTTTCCTCACTCAACTTAAAACCTTTTTAACCTTTTTTGATACAAACTCTTGACCAGTCAAACCAGGTTAAATTGGGTTTCCAATGTGATTCAAAACGTTCACAAAGTAAACCTTTTTTTTTACCAAACCATTTACTCATTGGAACAATGGACCAACGAAATTGGAAAAAAAATGTTGCAAAGAAAAGCGAAGAGAAGAAAAAATTGTTTTAATCATAACCTTGATAATTGAGTTGAATCAATCATGAAGTTTATGAAGAAGAAGAAGAAGAAGCTTGAAGAAAAAAAAGTTAAGGTAAAGTGCGTAAATACACTTTCACTAACTGCCATTAATAATACAAGAGTAAAAAATTTGAACCAATTCTTTGTATTTACTGTGAATAGGAATGAATGAAAAGGTTGACTTTTGCGGTTTCACAGGTAAAAGAAAAGGTAATCTCAAGATTTGGCTGAAAAGATGAAAATGATGAAGATGGCCAAGAAGATGATAAAGATGAAGGTAAAGATATCAACAAAGGCCTTTGTGAATATAAAAATGATTACAATGAAGAAGAGGAAAGCAAAAAAGTTAACATCAAGAGAGATCTTTTTTTTTATTGTAAAAAGATGAATTGGTTGTTGTTGCTGTTTATCAATATTACAGTAAATGTTGACCATCTCATTATAATCATGAAACAAGATGAACAATAGTTGAACCACTCATGTTCATATACATGCAAAAATAGGAACCATAAATTGCCTCTTTTATTGTGTATAATATGATAATATAACTTTTGCCTACACATTTCTCCTGATTAACATTTCTCATTGTTTTGGCCTTTTCATTTTACAAGCCAATTGTTAAGGTAAAAAAAATTAACAAACCAATGTAAATAAGGTGTTTGCAGGAGCTTCAAGTCACTGACTTTTATCTCAATCTTTATCACTTAACATGGTAAAGCTAAAGACTTGACTGACATGGAGACGGAATGTTTAAAATGCTCAATCGAAATGTCAAATGTGAAATTGATAGGAAAGGATGGAAGACACGTTCAAAGGTGAGTTTTTGTTGGAAATTTCATTTTCTCGATAATCTTTTATTGATTTTCAATTCACATGTTTAACTACTTGAACCAAACTGTCAACTACCTGTGAATCTGTTTTTTTCTGGTATTTATTCAACAATTGAACTTTAAGCTTTTAAATATTCAAATGCAAGGAAACAATTGATTTGCTGTTTATAATGGCAATTGTGTGATTTATGCTAATCAAAGATTCATCGCTTTTCTTCCTCAATCGCAATTGCTTTGCCGGCTCAACATTTTTCACTCTTCATATCATTAAATTGTTATATTTCTAGCATTTTTTTATCTCTAATTATTTGAGCAATAAACAGTTGATTAGAATTGAGTTTTCACTGTTTTTCCCTTTTCTGCCAAATTCATACGTTTTTTCATGCAATAGGTTGAAGTTTTGAGATAACTTTTTGTTGCTCCTTTTGCATGTTAAGGGTAAAGTTACAGTTTTTTTTATCCCATTTTGTGAGGAAATTGAAAAAATGATAAAAAAAAATCACGTAAGATAAATGCTCAGATTTCCCTAAGGCTCTTTTGGAATGATCAGATGATGGTGAAAATGATTATGTTGATTGTAATGATGAAAAGTTTCGATGTTTTTGTTTTATCTTCAAGTTTAACAAATTAAAATTGTATTGGGAAAGTAAATGAGAAATGAATCTGCTTTGCAAATGATTACACTTGATTAGATGATTATTTAATCAAATGAGCCATTTAATCAATGTTGACAATGATAAGGGTTATAATGATGAATGAAATTATTAAAGCAAAAAGTTTCATCTACATTTGAATGCGAAAAAGTAATAAAGGAAAAAAAAGTTCTTTTGTAAATAATAACAATAATCATGATGATGATGATGATGATGATGAAAAGATGAAAAGATTTTTCTTGATACAAAATATATTAGACAACCAGAGACAGGTACCAGGGGTGGGGTAAGATTGAAGTTGAAGAAAAGCTTGGAAACTGAAGAAACCAGAAAAGAAAATTAAATGACTCAGGTTTTAGCCTTAAGGCAATCATCTTGAGACAGGTAAGAGAATTGCGAAGGTAAAAGAGAGAGAGAGAAAATTAGAAGACAGAGAAGAGAGGAAAAATGAAGAGAAAGTTTAGACAATGAAGATGAGAGAGACTTTAGTACTCTTGGTAAGACTATTTAAGTAAATGTTTTTACCTTCTTACCTTTTTTTACACACAACTACCTGTAGCCAATGAATATAACGAAGATGATCAAGATGATGAAGACGATGATGATGATGATGATGATGATAAGAATGATTGTAAATTAGACAGAGAAGATGAAGAGGATGGATTTTTGAAAAAAAAGGAAGCTCATGCGCTTTCATTTCAATCTCAGTCAGTCTCTATCTTTTAACTTGAAAATGATTTGAAATTTTTACTTTTCCTTGCAGTTAAAGGCAGTTGAGATGAGAGGTTGAGAGAGATTTTGGAAGAAGAGAGAAGAGAGGGAGAAAAGGAGAAGAGGATTAAATTTAAAGACAGAGAAAATGAAGAGAAGAGCAAGGAAAATAGACAGAGAAAAAGAGAAAGAGAAGAGGAATAAGAAGGCGTCAAAAACCTTTTTTTGTTGAAAATGTTTTACTTCTCAAGAAGTAACCCGCCTTTGGCCGTCTCTTAAGGCGTTTTGCTTTTCCTCTTAAAATGCCTTACTTCAACCCATCTAATGCATGGATGCATTTTATCATCATCATTATCATCAGTACCTAGGTAAGAAGAGAGAGAGAGAGAGACAGAGACAGAGATAGAGAAGAGAGAGAGACTTAAAGGTAAAAACAAAAATCTTTTTTCTCTCTCTTCTCTCACTGTCTTTCTCTTTCCATCTTTTTCCCTTTTCCTTTTCTTCTGTCTACATTTATCTTCCTTTCTGCCTTTCTCTCTCTCTCTCTGGACGTCTCTCTCTTTTTTTGTCTCATCTTCTTCTCTCTCAGTGAGAATCTCGGAAAAGGAAAAACCTGTTTCACTGTTGTGTGACTCAAATGAAAATGAAAATATCCGAGTCATCATCGCCATCATCTCCGTCACCATCACCATCACCATCAACAACAATATACACAGTGAATATAAAGGAGGAACCATTGGACTCTTCTATGCCTCCGCTTGCTTCACCCGCCACAGTGGTTAACGTAGCCACTTGCAATAACAATTCAGCATCGAAAACTCGTGAGCTTGAACCTTCCCCACCGGCCACTGTCATTTCACTGGCGCCCGCTCAACCCTATCCTGGAACACAATTAACTTTTGCTGCTCCAGCGTATGATATTGAACCGAATGGTGCTTACACTGTTCAAGTGTCAGATGTTGCCTCACAATATGCCACAGTAGCTCAAGGAACAGCAGGTCGTGTCGCTAATAATGGAACCGTTTACCTGACAACAGATTATATAACTTATAGTGATTATTACCCTGCCATTACTACTGCTGGTGTGACTGGATCAGGTTCAACAACAAACCATGATCAGGTATGTTTACATGCTTCATTGTCGTACTGGTCAAACATTGTCAGACTAAGTGAGAGAAGTGAAAAGTTGAACAATCAATTTATCTCAAAGAGTAAAGTAAAGGACATTAAAAGCAGAAAACAATTTAATCTCTGGTCAGTTTACCTGAAAATTTGATAAGAAAACCCAAAAGCTAAACATTTTTCTCCAAACATCAATTTACTTGATCCAAGTGAAGACACATTTTCATCTCATGACATTTCACCTTTTCTTATCAAATTTTCAATACCAAATGACAACAAACCCATTGAGCACCACAAGACACTCAGCATTGAAGGCGAAAAGGAAAGTTGCACTTAACAGAATCATGTTGACAAACATTTTCCCTGAAATCATTTTTCATCTCAAGTTTTAATTTTTTTTTTGCTCCAATTATTTCACTTGTTCTGTTTCTGTGTTTTCAAGAGCAACTTTCATTTTCACCTGTTGATTGTTGTCACTTGTTACTCTTTGATTTACCTGTTACTATACCGTACTTTGATTGGTTAAACTATTTGCTATCAATGAAAAACTGTGCGCAGTTTTACATCACTGGATGTTGATATTTATTTAGCCAATGAAACTGCGCAAAGTGTCTTATCCTATGTTATGTTATATCGAGGTTTAAAAGCAAAATATTTACACAAAAAATTAATATCATTCCTTGTCGTCCCTTCCCTCTCCACCCATTGACCAAAGGCACTTTTACCTGTTTCCGGTTCAACGGTAGATCATTCAACAACCATAACGGTTACCTCACCCAACCTAACATCACCCGTCTCTGGGACTGGAGAGTCAAATTCAAACTCATCAACACCATCAACTGTAGGAAACGGAGGAAGCAAAGCTTCCGGCGGAAAGCGATCATGGAATGAATATAACCGAAACTCTGAAGTAGATAAAGTGCAAATACCAAAAATGTAAGTCCAGTTCATTTAACTCACCAAATATTTAAACAACAATCAAAAGCCAAAGGCGTACCTTTTTTCACGTCTAACCTTATCAGATGATCAAAGTAAAAGTAGAGAAGAGAAAAATTTTCAAATTTCTTTTTTCGAAAACCAAAAAAATTAAAACTTGCAAATCAGGGTTAAGAGGTTAAAGATCACACTTAGAAGATTTGAAGAGTAAATTTTGAGAAAATATTGGCTTAGGATAAACTGTTAATCTTGATCTTGTCTGAACCCATTTTACCTTTTCGTCTCTCAGATTCTCGGATGTCGGTTATAAATATTATCTAGAATCTCCCATTTCGACAAGCCAAAGAAGAGAAGACGATAGGATAACTTATATCAATAAAGGTCAATTTTATGGAATAACTTTAGAGTATATACCTGATGCAGGTAATCCTTTAAAAAGTGCCACTGTTAAGGTGAGTAAAGATAATGCATTTTGGGTAAACTTTTAAATCTCTAAATCGGCTTGACTCTCTTTTTGTTTTTGTTTTTGGGTTTTTTTTGTTTCTCTCTCTGCTGGTTTCAGTCTCTGGTATTGTTGGTATTCAGGGAGGAAAAGTTACATGAAGATGAGATTAAAGCATGGCAATTCTGGCATAGTCGACAACATTCAGTGAAACAACGAATTCTTGATGCCGATACTAAAAATTCATCTGGAATCATAGGTCCAATTGAAGAGGTTACACACAATTCAATTGCTTTTTATTGGAATCCTTTAGAAGGTCCAGCAAAGGTAAAAATTTATTTTCTTTTTTTTCTTCGCCTTCTTTCAATCATTGATTAGCAAATTGCGATTTACTATCTTTATAATGATTTAATTTTAAATCTTTTAACCTTCAATTTAACATTCAAGCTTCATTAATCGCTTGCTAATCTTTGTTTATTTCTTGATCGACTCTCATGAGGTAAAAAATTTTTTACCTTTGATTGATTTTTTCTCCTGCTTTTTATCAGATTTTCAATGATTGATTAAAGTTGATTTCACCTTTTGAAGATTCCTAATTATGTGAATCCAATTTTAATATCACAAATCCATTTATTGTTAGATAATTTTACTGATTTACTTTTCTCTCCTTTTCTTGCAGATTAACGTTGCTGTTCAATGTTTGAGCACTGATTTCAGCAATCAAAAGGGTGTCAAGGTGAGAATTTTGATAAATTGTTCTATTAATAGTTTATTGATCAGTCAAATTTGATTGTTGAAAGTTGATTTGATTAGTGAAACATTTCAACATTAAAAATTCAACTTTGAGTCAAATTTTGAAGTCAAACCATTTCTTACATTTTATTTCAATCTTTTCAGGGTTTACCTTTACATCTACAAATTGATACTTTTGATGATTTCCGAGACGGTAGTTTACCTATTCATCGAGGTTATTGTCAAATTAAAGTCTTCTGTGATAAGGTAAGTTTGACCAATTTTGTTACTTTCATTAGACTCATTAATTGTCAATTTGCCCTCTTCACTTGAATCATATATAAATTGATTGATCAAGTAGTTGGAAGAGGCAAAAATATAATTTTATTTACTTGAGGGTAAATTGTAAAATTGTTTTCAAGTCTTTGCTTTTACAATTTGTTTTCAATTGTATCTAGACTTTGCTTAGCAACTTACATTTGATTAACAGTTTGTAATTAACTTTTATTTTTCTCTTCTCTTCAATTTCTTCTTCAATCATTATCATGATTTTCAGGGTGCAGAAAGAAAGACTCGAGATGAGGAAAGAAGAGCTGCCAAACGTAAACTAACTGCAACTGGAAGTAAGTTGAAAATGAATTACTTTAATAATGTTTGCTCATTATTTTTTGCATCATTTTTTATTCAACAATTTTATCGTTGATTTGAACAATTTTGCCTAATTGTTTGTCCATATCATTGAACTTGTCTGTGAACTTGATTTCAATTTTGACCTGAAGTGGCAACAAATTTGAAACATGATTTGAGCATTTGTTAAACATTTATTATCAACATTTAGATATGAAAATAGGTTTCATGTTTAATTAATCAATGGTTCATTTATTAAGAAACGTCAACGTTTTTTGTAGTTTATTATTGATGTTGTTATTGTTGCTGCTACTGTACTTTTTTCTTGCTGTTGATTGTAGAGATTATGAATTTATTTATTGACAGTTCATTAATCATTGGTGGATAAGATGGTAATCTGATGATATCAAGTTTTCAAATGTATTTGTAGATGCAATTGGGAAGAAGATGCGTAAACATCTTATGAACTTATTGAACTTTAATTTTTTTTCAAATCGTTGGGTTGTGATCAACAAATAGTGTTGAAAATGTTTGTATATTTATATATTATGTAGCAAAGGTGAACCCGGTAGAGGTTTTAAGGGTCAATGTTATCTTCATTTTTTGGTGGAGGCTGTTTAGCACCAACTCTCCAATCACTGCGATGAATTATATCAGTTGACCATCTTTCTCCTTCAACCCGAGCTTCAGTTGCTTTCCACGGTTCATCTACTTCATTCGTCTTCTTCCAATCAGATGACCCCCCTTCAACTTGACCTCGACCAACTCCATTGTTTACAGTTGACCGGTCTCTTGTGTCTCCGCGTGATTGTTGTTGTTGTTGTTGTTGTTGTTGAGTTGATGCTTTGCCATGATGATGTTGAGATGTTGATACATCGTCACCATCAATTACTTCTGGATATTGGGGTGGACGCTTTTTCCACTTGTTTTCATCATTAACCATCATACCTTCATCATTATTATGTGACAATCCATCGGATCTTGTATTTAATTTTGAACCTTTACCAGTTTTCATTTCAATGTCAACTTTACTATCGCCATTCTCTTGGCCAGCAAAGGGTCCAGTTAAACCAGGAAACCTTGCATCTAAACGTCCCGTATTCATCAAAGGATCTATATTACCTAATGATGAGATTCCAAAATTGAGTGGATCGTTTTCAAATTTAGGTGAATACATATCAACTTCGTGAACTTCATAAGGTCGATCAACTTCATATTTAGTTACTGGTTTAAATACTTTTCCTTGTGAAGACTGTTGAGACTTTTGAACATTTGAATTTTCACCATTTTCAGTTAAACCAGCAGCTTCTCTTTGCTTAACTGCACTCATTGGTTCAACTTTAGCTATCTCTTTGTCTTCTCTATCTTCTTTCTGATCGTCTTCTTCCTCTTCTTCGTGATCGTCTTCTTCTTCCTCTGAATGTCCACTTGGTGGTTCCTTCTTCTCAGGTATCCAAATATCATGACCCGATATTGGTGATTCAGCTAAATACTCTGCTCCTAGGATATCCTTTGCATTGAGATATTCAGGCTCCTTGGAATCAAAAGTACCATAAGAGTCTCCATAACCTCCCCAGGAACTCCATCCACCTTTACTTTTCTTTGGCTTCTTGTAGACAATCTCCATCTCTGGCCAGCCCCATTCGCCCCACTCCTTTTCAGCTTCACAGCATTTCTTTTTCTTGGGCTTTTTGCACTTCTTTTTCTTGGCCTTGCACTTTTTCACTTTTTTACACTTCTTCTTTTTTTTGCACTTCTTCTTCTTCTTCTTCTTGGACTTGTACTTCTTGTAAACCTTTTTATACTTTTTACCCTTTTTCACCTTCATAACGCTATATTCTCGTTTGGATGCACTATCTGCTCGTGAATTTATATTTAATCGAGACATGGGTAAAACCATGAGACCCTCTTTCTCTGCTTCCTTCATTTTACGCATTTTACTATAATTATCTATTGATGATGATCGAGTGTTCCAATAATTTCCATTAGATTTGCTTAGTTCAGAATCGTGATTATTTCCCTGACTTGCAGCTATTGGGTATGCTGGGGCTGGAGGAGGTGGATGGTTAATTGTGGTTACATGTTGATGTCCAACAGGGGAAGCTTGATCTTGAGGAATTTGATGAACATGATGTTTTACAACAACCTCAGGTACATTTGTAACCTCTTCCTCATCTTCCTCTTCCATTTCACTAGTTTCCTCGTCATATGTTTGCCTTAGAGAAGGCTCGTCATATTGTATTGAAGGTCCACCCTCGTTATTTGATCCATCGCTATTGTCCCAGGAATCATCTGATTCAGATGTAGATTGAGGTTGAGGTTGAGGTGAATAAGCTTGATTAGACTGACGTTGATTAGGTGAACCTGGTTGAGGTGCTGGATAACCGGAAGGTTGATATTTTGATTGATGTTGGTTATTATTGTTGCTATTAGGGTTATTATTGCTATTAGAATATGAATTAGATGGCTGAGAATTCGGAAGTGGAATTGGAACATCAGCAGCTCCTTCTGACCTTGAACTTCCATGATCAATATTAATCCACTCATGGCGGACAACAGGTCCACTCACTGAATTACCTTCATTATGTGGTTGATCTTTTCTTGAATCTTTACGATTTATTCTACGATAATCTTCACGATTTGAACCCGAGTCTTCATTAGATTGCCTTGCTTGTGGTCCATGATATTGAAACCCGGTTGATCGACTTACTGGTTGATAACTGTATTCATGTCTTAATATTTGAGATTTTCCTGGTGTCGGTGAAGAGGAGGAAGACGATGATGATGATGACGTGGGATAAAAATGAGATGATGGCCTATCATGTTGATGAGCAGGTCTATGGAAGAAAGGGAGAGATAAATAAACGAATGGGAAAATGAGGGAAAAAGAACAAAGAAAAGGAGAGGTTTAAGATCATTAGTTGAAAAAAATATAAGGTTGACTGGTTGAATGTTCATTAAAACAGCTCACAGGTTACGGGCTTAGTCGTTGATTTGTTTGTTGCTATTTTTCCTCTTAATGACTACATCAATGACATGAATGTGTTCACTTGTTTGCAGTGTGAGTGTGTGTGTGTGTTTGTTGCTGTATTCGGGAGACTTCACACCACAGTTAACAGTCAATCTTGAATAGGCAACACTTTCTTCTCATTTTTATCTAACATCTAACTATTTCTTTGTTCAACTGATGAAAGCTGAAGGTAAAAAACATCAATTTTATTCAAATAGCAACACGGCAAAAGTAAGGAAAAAGTCTCTTAGTAATTTGAGTAGAAATGAGGATAAAAAATTGAAAAACGAGATTCCCTCTTTTTTCTTGCAATATAATGATGATAATCACTGATGATTACATTTCTTGAGATGGGCTTTTTGTTTGGCCTGCCAAAGGTGTTGCACTCACGAATTGATATTACCCGAAAAATAATATTTATTACAATAAATCCTTTATTTTTACCATTCTGTGTTGTAATGCTGCCATCTAGATAAACTAATGGGGGAAATCATTGATCTAGAGGTCAATGGTTTTCCCCCCTACAGTTTATCTAGGTTTAAGCAAGAGAAGATGAAAAAGCTATTTTTAAATCAAAAGTTAAATCATTTACCTGTTATTGTAATTAGTGTTTGAACGGTGTACTGGTTTATTGTCTTCATCATAGTCATCATTCGAAGAGTCTGATGAAGATTGAGATGACGGACGATTGCCATAACCCTGAGTTGAATCATGTTTTATCCATGGACCCATATCCTGGCGATAGTGTTGGAAAGATCCCTCTGAATGAAGGTCATCTAGGCGATAGGTTATTGAAAAATTTGCCGTTGTTGAATTACTGAAATCCGTAGGTAGACTAAATGATGTTGATGATATGGATTCTGCTGAATTTAAAGATGATGGCAATAGTGATGGCGAAGAAGCGGAGGACGTCAAAGATGATGACGGTGATGGTGATAATGAAGAGATTGTTAAAATTGGCAACTCGGGAGGTGAAGCAGTTTCATTGAAGTCAATGATATAGAAGTCACTTGGTGAAAGTGTTGACGGTACAGTAGCATTGGAAGATGAAGGATCACCGTCCAACAGTGAATTGTTTTCAGTTGTAACATCTGATGCATTGATTAACGATTCCCATTGAATCTCGCTTTGTATTAAAAATATCACAAGCCCAATGGTCGTAAGAAGCTTAATCATGCTTCTTTATCCTTCACTTGGAGTTGAACATTGACAATTTTATCCACGTTGGACTGTTGTAATTTGGTTACACACAAAGACAACGGTTTTTGCCGCTATGATTGCTGACAAACAACTGAAATAACGTTATCCGTTGATACAAAAGTTTTAAACTCGAGTGACAATCAATAACTAATCCTATCATCATCATTTCACCTTTATATATAAGCGAGACCGAATTGTTCAAAAATTTGTTTCATTACCATGATTATGTTTTACTCCTGTTAATTGATTGCTGTTGGGTTTGAATGTGAAACCATAAAACGGTTGATTTGGTTATCCATAAACTAAGCCAAACTTGTCGCCTAATGTCAAAACTTTTACCTTAAAATCAAGCCGTAAACAAATTAACCTTTGGTGATCTTGAATGTTGTTGACATCCCATTGATTGGTTTATTAAGGAGCAAATGAAGAGGAGAAGTTTAATTGTTAACTTAACTGTAAACCCTTTATTTTCCCTTTTTTTATTGCCAAATTGTTGACTCTTCTTTCAACTCTAATCCATTCAAAGTGCACAAACAATTCGTTAGCAAAACTAACTTTTATTTTCTCCTTCGTCAATTAATGCCGTCATTCATCGACGATTATGGTGATGATAGAAAAAAAGAGATTTGATCGATGAAAATGAATTTTGTCACCTTTTCGTATTTCAATCGGTTCGATCCCTCCAAAAAGTCATCTTTAAACGCCCTTCAAAAAGGGTTTGCTGTGGGTTTGATCAAGTACAACAACAACAACAACAACAACCAGAAAAAACGTTGATGTGAAATGAACAAAAAAATAAATTGAAGTACGCTTAATAATAAAATTTAATGGTTACTGTGGCAATTGAAAGGGAGGGTTCCAAATGATTAGACTTAACGCCTGATTTATGTTGTCTGTAACACTGTAGCTGACTTTCAGATTAACCTGGTTTTTTGGTGATTATTTTTTGATATCGATAAAATTTGGAAAAGTTGAAAATACATTTTCTTAGCCCAATTGAATTACAGGAAAGAAATGAGTTGAAGATTATCTTATAAATTAACATCACTTGCCTTTTCTTGTAAAAAGATCAGTAAAATATGTTCATTTTGTTTATTGTTTTCACTTGAAAGTAACAGTGATTGACACTCATTTACCTTGAATGAAATGAATGAAGATGGAAAATGATAAAAGCCGAGAAAAGAAAGCAATGTTATTACAGGCGAAAAAGTCAACAAAAGCAATTTCTTCAATACAATCAAATAGCATTTAATACTTTCGGTCATTTGCTTTTTAATCATATTTCTAATCAGTTTGACTGAAAAAAAAGTATCTTGAAAAAAATGAATCTCAACAATATCAAGTGATTAACACCAACAATTGTTATACAAAAATTGAACGTAAATCTTGTTGAAAGATTGAATGAAATTGTTGACTGTAGCTGAAATTACTGGCAAATGATTGAACACGTAAAAATGTGTACAAAGCCTGAAAGGTTCGCAATGAACATTTGAAAACAACATTTATTGAATAGCATGAAAAAGCCAAAGGGAAGATGAAAATTGATGATAAAAAGAGACTGGACTTCGTCATCATTCATTTTACCTTTTCTCTATTCTATACAAGGTCACTCTCATGAATTATTATTATTATAATAATATTATGATTACTATTTACCTGTGATAAGCAGCTACGTGGCAAACCTTTTTAATGGTGAAAAAAGTACTCACAGTGAGTACTCAAGTGTATAAATTGAAGACAAAAAAAGAAAGTGAAAGAAAAATATTCTCTTCATGTTGCATCTTCTCTTTCTTTCCCTATCATCTCTTTCTCTTCCTCTCCTCCTCTCATCATCACGATGATCATATCAGATTAGATGCATTTAGATGAATTAATTTGCAATCTTAGCCTTGAATTTTACTGAGTTTTCTCCTTGTGTGTATATTTTGTTCATGTTGAAAGCAAAGTGTTTAATGATTTAAGCAATAAAGAGTAATGAAAGTAAAACCAAAATTGAAACTGATTGTAATGTTATTATTTATAATCTTGGATTTCATTAAATATTTAATTTCTCCTTCCATCTCTCTCTCTTAATTAATACAATCAACAATTTAATTTGATTCAGGAAAAGGAAAAATATATTTACATGGAAATTAACCTTTCAATTTTGGTGAAGTGAAAAACTCAGCAACAATGAGCAAAACAGAAATGGCAAAAAAACAAAAGAAACTCAATCTAAATGTCAAAATGAATTGTTTTTCTTCTACCTTCATCAACTTCAATTTGATTTACCATTTAATCTTAATCAATATTACCTTTGATGGGCCTTTTTGTAGACAGTAATATTTTTGAAATTTGTTTTCTTGGGCAACACGAAAAAAAGTGGCCTTTGAAGATTCTCATCATAAAAAGACGGCAATAAAAAATGGCAATCTCAACATTTTTACCTCTATTTGTGAAGAGGAGAGAGATAGTTTCTATCTGATCCTCCTCATCTTCACCAAATTTTACCTTCTCTCTCTGTTTAGTCTGTCAATAGATGTACCTGTATATTATAGCTTCTCTACCTTTACCTTAAAAGGTTATTTTACACACGCAAATAGCTAAACCTCTTGCAAGGTAAGAGAAGCACAAAATGTAAAGACAAGATTAGAAAGATTGAACAAAAAAGGTTTAGTTTAAAGCAAGAAACCCAAACAACCCAAACTGACAATGTAATACCTTGATTTGTCTTACCCGGGCAAATCAACTTTATTTGTCTCAAAGTAATTCGAAACGGCTCATCTTTTATTTTACTGTTGACGATACTTTCGATTACAGTTAACCTGGTAAAAGTCCGTTTACTTTTCTTCTCCTTCTTTGCCTTGATCATCTTACCTTGTGAAAAATAAACTGTTTTTTTTTCAGTGTATACTAAATACTTGGTAAGGAAAAAGATTTTACAAAATGATGAAAATGATGGAAGAGAAAAGACGAAAGATGAAAGAGAGAAAAATGAAAGATTCTTTTACCTTTTGCATTGCTCTTGTCTTGGGAATGAAAATTCAAATTAGTAGTTGGCACCCCCATGACTTGCGGGCCATTTTACCCAAAACCCCGCCAAGGCCCTCTAGGCACGGTCGATTGACCTATGCAACTTGTTGCTTCGCTATTATCTTCTTTCAACCTTTTTGTTTATCATCATTCCTCCTCCCCATTGGACTCCTCATTTGTTCGCGTTCTTTATAATCGTCTCTCCCATTTACCTTTACCTTCATCATCTTTTCCCGTCATTCGTTTCTCTATCGTTTCATCTCTCATCTTTCATCTTCTCTCACAGTTAGTTACAATCTAGGAAAGTCATGATCAACCTTACTTTAAATACCTTTACCTCCTCCTTGATCATTTTGTTACCTGTAACTTAACTAAGGTTATTCCATTGATTCCTTTTGGTTTCATGTGAGCGATAAGATAACTTCAACATTTTTATTTGCTGTGCTTTCGTATGGAAATGTTGACCATTTATGCTAAACAAAATGCTCAAGACAATTGGTTTACTTTGATATTTTTATTCAACTTCAATATCTTTGATTGTAGCTTAGGCAATGTTTTTATATTTTTTGTCAAGTCTTGCCACTAAATTTTCAAATGTTTTTTTTTGCTTGTTTGCTAAGGTAAATTTCACCTATTGTTTGCAGGAATCGAAATTGAATTTCGTAATGTTTTTTTCCTCTTCTCTTGGAACAAAAAATGTTGGTAAAAGCAGCGAAAAATATCAACATATGAAGTATTACAGTGAGATAATGAGACTCAATTGATATAAAGCTCTGCAAAGGCCGGATTTCAATGACTTGACTTGCTGGGATAATGACTATGACTTAGTCGACTTAGTCAACTAAGTCGAAATTACTGGTCGACTGATTAAGTTAAATGACTTGCAGGCAAACTGTGTTCATTTGGACTGAATCCACTTACATTAACTTGCCTCTGTATCTTAAAATAATGTCTATTTTTTTTGTACGAACTTTAATATTCGTGAAAATATGAAGCAAAAAAAAGTCATTAAATTTTGCTAGTTAATTTACACTAATCCAAGACTATTGATGACAAAAATGATGAATGTTGAATGAATAGTGAAAAATGAGCTGCACTTTCAGGGTCCATCTCAGTCTTTACAAGAGGTTGAAAACAACTTAAAGCGTTACTTTTAAATAGCCCAGTAAATATATATTAAACAGTGTCTTCTCCATCAAGATTAACCATTTCAAATCTCGTTTCGTTTGAGAAGAAGAATTATTAAGGTTCAAACCTTATCCTAAGGTGAACAGGCTCTCTCTCTTTTTACCCTGGCTTTTGTAAGGCAAACTTTGACACTCCTGGCTCCATTTTTTGGGGATCATTTCTTACAGTTTAACCTGCACAAGGTAAAAAAATACATAAATTGAAGAGATAACAAGTTAAAATTGAAGGTAACTGTGCAAGTAGGAAGACAAATGAGCTTGCAAGAATGTTGACTTTAAATCTTTCCAAACTATCAAACCATTTTAGATTAAAATTAATCGTTGAATCTTAATCTGTGCACAACAAAATAAGATGAATTTGCTTGGTGTGTAATCACCACATAAATATTCAACATAAATCCTGAGCGTTTTCTTGAGCTGATTGTAATTTAATTAAATCCATTTCCACTTTTTTTGTTGTTGTATTCTAATCAATGGTGTGTGTAGAGCCAGCCAGAAAATCCTTCTCTCAATTGTGCAAATTTGTTCCTCAGGTAATGAAAACCAAGCAAAGAAAAAATATTCAGGTACAAAATTTCAATTTGACAATCGTGAGGTAATTTCAAATGCTTATACTTTAAGCTTGCCCATTGGTAAAAATTATTTTTGCATTTTCACTATTTTGCAGTCAAAAAAATGCATTTTCAACTTGCAAGCAACTTTAAGCATGACATCATTATCATGACAACAGCATCATCTTGGCCGTAATTTTCATCATTTTTAGTCTTTAATAATCTTTCGTTTCTCTATTGTCCACAATCATGGCTGTCCAATGTTATCTTAGATCATCAGATTGATGGAATGTAGAATAACGTTTGAGCGGTAAAAATAATGAGCAAACATTGTTTTCCACTAAACTTCACTTGACGGCAAAATGCTGAATTGTCACAATTAATACCAAACTAACTTTATTTCTGTTCATCTCTTTTGATCAATCCTATTTAGATGGGCGCAAAAAGATCGAGGAAATGTACCATCCACCATGTGATAGGTCAGAATTTTATACAATGTCTGATCGAACCAAACCTCCTGTCTTGTTTACACCAAGTGAGGATCTTGATAAGGTAATTATTGGCCTTTAGTTGTTGATCAAAGTGATAACCAATAGTGAGCGAGACAATCCAACAGTCATTTATTCCAGAGCTTGAAACAAGTGAAAAATGTTTAAATTTTAATGATCTTGTCCAGTGAAAAGTGAAGAACCTAACCTAGAAATAAACTTAATGACAGAAAGAAGAAATCATTATTAATATCATCGTTATAAATATATATTATATTTCATTGATACCTGTTAATAAAGCTTATATCCTGTCAGGGTCATGATGATTATCATGATTAGTTTCACGATTAATTGCAATTTCATCTTAACCATTCCGATTAACCTTTAGCTTTAGTGAGTGGTTGAGAGAGAGAAAAAAAATGTCAACAGGAAAAAATACACTTTTTTGTTCCAACAAATATTCCAAGTGTAATGAAGTAAATTTATGGTCATTTGACACACACATTTGACATTTAAATTGAGGTATTTTAGATTGGAATTGGATTATTTTCTTGATTCACTCTTTGATTTGAAGCTTGATTTGCTGTGTGATCAATTCTCCTTTTCTCATCTTTGTATTTCTCTGCTTTTTTCTCTCCGATTCCCCGCAACAGATAACCACAGGCGATATGAGCTTTTACTCAAGCCAACATTCAACTGGAGACTTGAACACTGCAGGATATGATTCACCTACCCATTTACCCATCATAACTCCACCAGGATCCTCTGGAACAGCTTCACCAGGAATAATTGACAAAAGAAAACGAAGTGCCGATCCTATTTCCGCCAATCTGGAAATGGTTGTAACTCAGCCTCCACCTAAAAGGGACAAAGTTTATCCTCCAGATCGATTGTTGCTATATGCTAAACAGGAAAACGAAGAAATATTCCATCCATTGCACATTGTCCCTCCAACACTGGTCGGTTTAGCGTTATCTATTCAGAAAAAGTACAAATTGGAAGCTAAGAATATAAGACATTTCTATAAAAGATGTTTGAAAGGAATTACCCTGCTAATGGACGATGAACTGGTTAAATTATACTGTAACGAGGACACCGTATTGTTACAAGTGCACCAAGTAGACGAGCAGACTCATGATATAACTCTAGTGGAGTATGATAGTTCAACCAATGCCTAACCAATGCTTGATCAACTCAACTCATGCGCAACTAAAAACAAAAGAAACATGTTAAACATTAAAAGCACATAAACAAAACTACTCGGGCTAAAAAGACGGGCTAAGAAAACACGGGATCAATCTTTTTACTCATGTTGGAAACAAATTATCAGATAATATACAACACAAATTAACATCAACTTAATATTCATCATGATCATCACTACCATTGTCATCAATATTTCACCATCACTTGACCATCTCATTCACCCAAAATCAACTTTATCCTTTTTTTTGTGTCTACAACAAAACAAATTGAATCTCCTTTATAATCAACATATGTCTTCCTCTAATCATTTTTCCCTCTAATCATCATTATACCATTTTCATCTTCATGTTCATGTTCACTATTATTACCATCATCGCCAATCGACTTTTTTGTCTCCCTTTACATCACCTCTTCATGATCCTTAAGCAATTAATAGTAATGTCCACCTTTTGTCCTCTTTTTTTCCTATGACAAGAATGTATTAACGAAATTATTTTGCATTTTTGGTTAGCAAATTCCGTCCTCTTTTTTTGTCTAAATCAACTCTTTCATGAAAGACCACATTTGGAAGAACAAATTTCCGAAGGAAAGGAAAGGCCTTTTCCACCTTCTGACCAGAATCCATTGAAATAAAACACAAGCTTGCCTTAATCTTGAGACCTTTGAGATTCCTTGAAAACCAACTCCATTGAAATACTTAAGGACTTTGCTACTCAAATGCAAAATTTTTACACTTATTTTCCATGCAACTCATTTACTGAGTTTTCTTTATCTTTTTTTTCTTCTCTCGATTATATTTATACCTTTAACTGAAAAATGTGTCATCCTGATAAAAAAGCTGAAAATCTGGTTTACTATTATAAAGAGAAATGATATTTTGTATTTCATTTGTCAGATACACAAACATGTAAAAACAAAGCAACGATCAGTAATCGATTCTAATCAAATGAAACTGAAAGGTTTTCCTCGTCAGATTTAAATTGAAAAGTAATTAATTAATTATTATATTTTGTATGTAATATGAACTTATTTCTATTTTTTTCCTCAATCTCTAATTTTGTCCAATTCCTTGAGATAAAAGCTCATCTTTTTTGTACTCTCTTGTCCTCCCATCTCTTCCCAACTCTTGCCTACTAAGTGTTTAAATTAATTACTGTTGGATTCCCAAACCAATTACACTTTGTACGTCTTAACAATTACAATTGTGACCCTTTAATACCGTTAAAACCGTTAATAATGATAATAAGCATAAAAGGCCGGAAGAGCAACAAAAAAAATGATTCAACCCAATGGAAACAAATGACCGGTGGAAACATCAGTTTTGTTACTTACATTTTGTTCCCTCATTAAACTAAATTAATCATATTGTAAATGTGCGCAAAGATGAATTAATGATAAAAAAGCGTAAGACTAAAGAGATTCACTGATTGATTCACTTTCTCATGCTAATTATATTAACTATCTTTAGGTGCTGGGAATCAAGTGCATCTTCAATTCACCAATTGAATCAATAATTAAAATACAATGTCCATATAACCTGACTTTTTTCCTCGACAATTATAATTATTAATAAAACCACTTCTATTACCATTACAATTGTGATTATTATTACAATTATTACAAATACATTTATTGACAATGAAATGCTGGTTATGCATTGAAACTCCAACTATAAATAAAAAATGATCTTCAATTAAACTGTAAACCGATTGAATAATTAAAGGAAAATTAATAAGTTGAAATATCACCATCTGATCTCATTGAAAATACAATTCATGTTTTGATGCTTGGGTCTGTAACCGATCTGAGGTGAACCTGGAACCGGTTTAACCCTCGGTCACAGAGGGATGAAGGATATGAGATACGTGCTGATATGTGATATCAACCCTATGAATTACCAGGAGTCATGTTAGCTTACAATACTTTTCTGGTTATGTTCAATGGTTTTCAGGAATGTGGGATGTCGGCAACTTGATACTCTTAAATGTAGATCCTTTGGTCCATCATGTTCAGCATATTAAGATTGTATCCTATTGAAGAACCAAGTAAAAGTCAAATTTGATTATTTTGATGTGAAGTTCATTGAAATGGACCAATTTTTATAACAATTCATGTGTAAGCGAAGACTTATGAACTTTTGAACAGATACGTTATCGTCATATTGTTAGAAACGCTATAGTAATAAAGAAGTGACTGAAGGTTTAACGAGAAAATATGGAATTCAATTACATGTGATAGTCTGCACTGAAAAAGATGTTGCATAAAATCCACAAATGAGACTTACGAGGGACAAGTCTCAGGTGTCTCAATAATTTTGGGTCGAGACCATATATCGTTAGATCGTGGATAAATGAAAAGATAATTCAATAAAAGAAGTTCATAATTAGTTACAGTTTTGATCACAACTCTTGATAACTGTTTCCTCATAACATAACAGCTCTCCGACACACTTAACTACATGAATCTGATTACTATTTTACCATTGAAACATTGCATTTAACATATGAAACCAGAAGATTCCAATGTTCAATGATGAATGATTTTGGAGGTTCCGAAGATAACAGAGATTTGATTATTAAAAAAGCCGATAAAATCAATACAAAATTTGATAAAATTTACGCCTTTTTCATATTCTTCAGTCAATTCCTAAGCTTTAACCACATCAAACATGACAAGACTTGTTAAAATTGACAGTTCTTGTAAAATGATTAAAATGTGTTTCTCGTTTTTGTTCATTTTCATCTTAATAAATTTTCAAGTCGAAGCTAAAAATTCATGTAACGATGAGTGTTTGACTAAAACATATTGTTTATCAAGTGATGGTTCTGGTGTTTGCTCAAAAAATAATCTGGCTACAGCTCAATTCAAAGTGGAGCCAATCTTTGGTGAATTTGATTATCTTCAAATAACCCTCAAAGGTTATAATGTAGCAGTCGATGAGGAAAAAACAATCAAAGTGAGCTTTGACAGACCAGGTCGTTCTTCAAATATATTTACTTGCTATAAATCGTCTCTCGGATCAACATATGCAAGATTTGACCGAGACACCTACAGTAAAACGTTTGGATCATCTCATTACGTGGATGGTGTTTTATACTGTACCTGGACTTTCAACATTTTTGATTCTATCACGCCACCAGATATGCTCAGAGACAGTTCCCAATCAATAGCACTCTATAGCGACTCTCGGAAAGTCACAGTTGCTAATGACACTAGCCAACTCCCAATATATCATGCTCAATACCTTAAGTGCTGTAATAAGGTTCACGGTAATGATGCCTTTCGGCTCACTTTTGACCAAACCGATAAAGAAATACGTTATCAGCTTTATTATTTTAAACTCGATGGCAGTGATTTGACTGTAACTCTATTGAGAAAAGATGGAACCCAATTACAATTTGAATGCTATCTTTATTCGAATGCTTTAAAAGTTCGTATTAGCAATGGCAGTCAACATTTTTCTGTTGATGACCAACTTATGCAGCGAAACATCATCTTTTACGAAATATGCTCATGGGCTACTCCTTTTGTTGTGGGCAATTCAATGCTCAGTATCGATGCATCTACCAGTGTCTTTGACTTGAGAGTGGAAGATGACGTTGGCACGGTTTACACTGAAAAGGGTGTTACATTGAAAAATTCATCACATTTTGCCAAATCGAGCTTCGTTTTGGTGGCTTTTGCAGTTTTGTGCCAAATATTATAAAATCTGTTTGTTAATAAGCTGACAGAAACTGATAGAAATCAAATGGTTTATCATCGAAATGCAAAAATCAGGAAAAGAAAAATCAAAATTCGATAAGCATAAAATTAAAAAATGAGTCTCGTTTGTAATATTAAAAGTTAATTTAATAAAAGCAATTGATAATTAATAACAGTTTTTATCACAGATCTTGATTACCTGTTTCCCCATTGCAACTCTTCTGCACATTAACCTCACATGAATCTGATTAATAGTTTTCAGCTGAACATTGCATCTAACTTATGAAACCAGAAGATTCGAAAGATACTTAATTATGAATAAAGCAACGAACATGGGAGTTTTAAAGAAAACAGAGATTGTGATTCACTAAGATTATGGAAAAAATCAATCGATATGTGATAAAACTTGCAGGGAGTTTTGAGCATATCAAGATAAACTCATGCAAGATGAAAATGATTATCCAAACAATGTAGATCGCTTATGTAACGAAAAGATGCCAATATCTTATACTGATAAACATCGGAGTTTGATTCATTGCCCAATGAAATCAATGTGTATAAATTGACGAATTTATTGTTTCCATCATTCATTATTCAAAAGCTTCAAAAGTGTTAAAGCTTGTCCGTGTTTTGTTCGTTAAGCGAATAAGATGTACTTCGAGTTATTGTTCATTTTTATCTTAACTATTTCTCAAGTTGAAGCTAAAAATTCATGCAATGATGAGTGTTTAACTAAAAAATATTGTATATCGATTGATGGTTCTGGTGTTTGCTCAAAAAATAATGATGTAACAGCTCAATTCAGAGTGATTCCAGTCTTTGGTACATATGATTATCTCCAACTAACCTTGTCAGCTTATAATGTACATGTTTATTTTCTCAAGATTTTAAATTAAAGATTCAAAACCACCAGAAAGGTTGGTCAACCAGAAATCATGCATTGGTTTGACTGACTGATCAAATGGTTTATCATCCAAATCAGAAACGAGAAAAATTGAAATTCCAAAGCACAAAATAAAAAATGCAGCTTAGATCGTTTGTTGTACTAAAAGTTTATTCAATCAAGTAATTGATAATAAGTAACAGTTTCGACCACAGATTTTGATTACCTTATTACAACTCTTCTGTACATTTGACTACAAAAATCTGTTTACTGTTTTCAACATTGCATTTGACTTATGAAAAATGGTAGTTTAAAAATCATCGAAATGCGATAAAATTCCCTTCGTTTTTGTTATTCATTAGTTAGTCCAAAAGCATTGAAATTATCAAACTGAGTGATAAAACTTTGGAGGGAGATTTGATATCAAGATGTGCACCTGAAAACAATGCAGATCGCATATATAACGAAAAGATGCAAATATTCAAATATTGATTACGTCCGAGTTTAAAAGGGAACATATATTGAATTCATCAACTGATAAAAATTAATCAATGTGTAATAAGATTTACAGATTAATTTTTCCATCATCTATTAGTCGATTCCAATCTTTTGAAAGTGTTAAAACTTTTCAGTTCTTGTAACTGTATTAAAATGTGTTTCTCGTTTTTATTCATTTTTATACTTATTAATCTTCGAGTTGAAGCTAAAAACTCATGCAACGATGAGTGTTTGACTAAAACATATTGTATATCAAGTGATGGTTCTGGTGTTTGCTCATCTGGTTACAGCTAAGTTCAAAGTGATGCCAGTTTTTGGTGCATATGATTATCTTCAAATAACCCTCAAAGGTTATAATGTAAGATCAGATGATGAAAAAACAATCAAAGTGAGCTTTGACCAACCTCGTTTATTTATTAATAGTAATGTATACACTTGTTATAAATCGTCTTTCGGTTGGACCCAGGCGAGGTTTGATCGAGGCTCCTACAGTTTGACAGTAGGATCATCGTATTAAATGGATGATGTTTTTATCTTGTAGCTGGGTTTTCAATATTAATGATCCTATCTGGCCACAAGGTGTAGATCTGCTTAAAGACACTTCAAAATCAATAAAACTCTATAAAGACACAAAGGAGGTCATTGTAGCTCAAGACACAAGTCAACTCACAATCTATCACGCTCAATATCTTAAGTGCTGTAATAATGCTCATGGTAATGATGAGGTTCTGGTCACTTTTGATCGAACCGATAAAGAAATACGTTATCGACTTTATTATTGGAAAGACAACTATAAAAAAGTGACTGTAACTTTAACGAGAAAAGATGGAATCCAATTACAATTTGAATGTAATCTTCATGCAGATATGAATGGCTACATTAGCAATGACACTGAGCGATCTTCTGTCGACAAACAACTAATAGAACCAGATGTGATCTATTCCGAAATATGCTCATGGGCTACTCCTTTTGTTTTGGGCGATTCAAGAATCAGTAATGATGCATTCAACAGTGTCTTTTACTTGAAAGTGTCCGCTGACTATCGCACAGTTTACACTGAAAAAGATGTTACATTGAAAAATTCATCACATTTGGTCAAACTGAGCTTAATTTTGATGGCTTTTGCAGTTTTGTTTCAAATTTCAGTGACTTTGTCATAAACTAACCTCTAAAATGATTAGACAACCAACAGTAAATTCAAAAATGGAAAAATCGGGAAGTATAAAAAATTAGACTTTTATTGTTTTTCATATAAAAAGTTGATTCAATAAAAGCAATTGATAATTAAAAATCGTAATCTACACATTTCATAATATATAAAGTCAAAACATAACATTTTTGAATTAAAACTGTAGTCAAACTAAATGGGTTCTAAAGGAAAATGCAGAATCCGTGCAGAATGCAAATACCATTGACTTTTGACAAAAACTATGTATTAAGGTTGGTTGTTTTTCGATTTTTCTTTGGTTTATGATATTGATTGACTGTAAACTACTCAGTGAAAAAACCT